ATCCTTCACTCGGTAATGGAAAGAACAAACAGGTTGGAAATCCGTAAGAATGGACGAGTTAGACAACTGGATCACTCAGCTGGCATAATGGTATGCCTCCCCCCAACAAGGGTAGGGCGCACATTCTTGTCACATGCGCTTGGAACATTTGTCAAACTTTAATAAACATAAAATAGTGGAAGTCACATAATAAGTATTCAGGTAAGAACAGAGTTAGCAAGGAGTAATAAATGAAGATCCAAGTTTTTTGAAATTTTAAAGAAAAAATTCCTAAATAACCCCTGGCTTAAGGAAGAAGGCTGAAGGGGAATTTAAAAACTATTTCTAGTGAGGCACGGCAGCACATGTCTATAATCCCAGCACTCTGGGAAGCTGAGGCAGGAGACTTGCATGTTCAAGTCCACTTGTTTTAATGATTTAAAAAAAAAATAGAGGCTGGAGTGTAGCTCAACACAAAAGCCCTGGATTCATGACGCCATACTGAAAAAAATTCTAACCAACTAAAAATTAAATACAATATTCCAAAACTTACAAATGAAATGAAAGCAGGGTGTTCAGGTAAACAGAATAATAATGCTTATATTAAGGAAAATTTTAAAGCGGTAATCTAAGATTCTGCTTTAAAAAACTAGCCCCTTTCTATCTTTGGAAGAGGTTCTGTGGCTCTACCTTGGATCTTCTAAATAAACAGGTTCTTTCTACTAAGAAGAAAGAAAGAAAGAAAAAGTAGGTAAAATCAAGCCCAGCTCAAACACAAGAAATAAAAATTTGAGCAGAAATCAATAAAATTAGAAGTAGAAAAACCATAGAGAAGAACAATGGAACTAATCCCTGTTTCAATATAACAATCAATATAATCGTCAACCTCCAGTCATATGAAGAGAAAGAGGCTGCAAATTACCAGAACCAGGATTCTTGCAGTTATTAAAAGAAGACTAAAGATACATTATAGATGGGCTTGGTGGCACACACCTGTAATGTCATCTGCTTGGGAGGCTGAGGCTGGAGGGTCACAAATTCAAGGCCAGCTTAATTAAGCACTTTAGCAAGATCATGCCTCAAAAGGAAAGAGAAGAAAGGAAAAAAAAAAAAAAAAAAGGCTAGGGATGTAGGTCTATGAGAATGTTCCCTGGGTTTAATTCTAAGTACTAGGAAAAAAAATACATTGTATGACCACAGATTAGACACTTTAGATGATAAGGAGCAATTCCACAAATGATGTAACCAACCATCACTGAAGTAGAGAGAATGTCCCATATCTTTTTTTTTTTTTTTTTTTTTTTTTTTTTTTTTTTTTTTTTTTTTTTTTTGTGGAACCGGGCATTGAACTCAGGCCCTTGCATTTGCCAGGGAAGCACTTATTCCACTGAGCCATCTCCCTGGCCCAGAATGTCCCATATCTATTGGTGAAACTGAATTCATTGAGTAAAAATCTTCAAAGATTTCCCCCAAGTTGTGTTTGCTGTTGAATTCTACATGAAAAAAACATGTAATACCAATTCTCCACAATCTCTTCTAGGAAAAAGAAGAGGACAGAATACTTCCAGCTCATGTTATGAGGCCAGCATTACTCTAATGTCAAATTGAGGTTACATTATCAAAGAAGAAAACTGTGAATCATATCCTTCAAGAGCATTGTTTTAGCTGTTAGCATGGAGAAGCTGTAAACTATAAAAAGGGAAGCTCTATATTTTGTTAATTTTATGCATATGAAATGATATGTATGTTTCAGAGTTGTAGATGTTTTTGTTTTAAGGGGTAGACTGGAAGTACCAGATCTGCTAATATTCTCACTGTATACAATGTTTTTACATTTAAAAGAATCAGACCAAAACCTTTTAAAATAATTATGTATTATACTAATCTTTAGAGCATTTTATCCATCTCCTTTCTGACATTGTTGCTTACTGTAATAAATTAACTAGACTAGTTCAATTTAATAACATCAAGTGACTCCTGGTTTACTCCCATTCTTGTCTCTGGGTCTCGTCAATAAGATACAGACCACAAAATGGAAGAATAGACTCAAAGTCCTGGTTGAAAATACTGTGGGATATATGTCTTGATATTGTAAAGAATAAACTCATGAAAATGGGTCTGGGGCCAGCAAGATAGCTCAGTGGACTAAAGCACCTGTTTAGGCAAGCTTAGGTAAGCACAGGGACCGCAGTTCTATCCCCGGCACCACATGCTGGGCCAGCCTTGCTCCTAAGGTGGGCTGAGATGGCCAGAGTCCAGGTGTAGTGGCGCACACCTATATTCCCAGTGCTGGGGAGGCTGAAAGCAGGAGGATCACTATGAGTTCGAGCTGCATAGTGAGACCCTGAAACAACCAAATATATAAAAAATTTAAAAATAACAACAATAAAAGAAGAAGAAAAAAAGAAAATGGCTCTGGAAGCGTAGGCTGATGCTGCTTTGTATCGGGAGACTGACTTAGGAATTCCCATGGTGAACTTTAGACCTGATAACCCCACATGTCACAAATATTCACTATGACAGAGTGAAGGTGTAGATAAAGAGCAATCCAATCATGACTATTGGTTTTGAAATTTGTTGGTATTGTTTTAATGTTCTGCTTTCTGGTGGACATGTGAACAAAACTACCTT